GTAGTTGGGCAACATATTAATAACTATTTGATGTAATATCTTTCTGTAAAGGGGCTTAAAAGATCCAAATACTATTCTGTGGTCTTTAAAGCAGCATCTGTCAAGAACAATCACGCATGCAGTTCTGTGCGTGTCTTACTAATCCAACAAAATTTTTAGCAACTATTTATCTCAGCAGTAAGTAAGCAGTATTTTTACTGTTAAAAACATAATAAAGTATGTATAAATAAACATGAAGTTATTTATAGAATTTCTTGTTTTTTAATGCGAGATGTTATGAGACAATGACAGCCAAGTCATTGTGTGGACACGTTTACCTCCATGACAGCACACCTGACTTAACTTTCGATTATGAATTAATCAATTAGCACAATCATAAAAAGTTTTGAATCTGCAGATCTGAAATCTGTTTTTGTACGTAGTAAAAATCTCAAACTCTCCACAATTATTAAACTTATTTAATATTAAAAATCATGAGACCATGTCCGTGTAGTATGTTTCCAGTTTATCAGATTATTACTAAGCTGAACTGAATTGAATCTGTTCTCATATTAGACCATTTTATTATTTACAGCTGCTGTAAGGAAGATTCCCCAACATGCGAAAGCTACCAGTGTGGAAACTGAAAGCAGAAACAGTCGGTTTGTAGTTTGTGTTGATCATTTATAAGTATTACATTTTCTTAATTATCTGGAACTGTACTTAATTTCATTATGATTCAGATTCATTTCAGTAATTTGTGAGTTTTATGAAGTAAAGTGTAGTGAACAGTGTCTTGTGTCTCCTTTGTATTTGGGTCCAAAACCAGTGCTAAAATCTTGCTTTGCAACAGTGAAATAATGTTTAACATGATAATGTAAAAAATTTACCACTAATAAATGTTTTAACCTTTAAGTGTGTGTGTGTGTGTGTGTGTGTGTGTGTGTAATTTAGATAGTTTTAGCTTTGTATGTGTGTGTGTGGTTTAGATAATAATACAATAATCATTTTCATATGTGTGCATATATATATATATATATATATATATATATGTTTGAAGCCTGTTTATCTTTACAAAGCAGTTTAAAGCACCGTCTTTCCTTGTGGAACCAGCCAGACTGAGTGAGGAGGCGAACGAGGGGGATAAAACGTGTAGCTGTCGATTTGCTGTCTGTTGAAATGACTGACATTATGTATTTGTCATCCACACTTGTGGCATTTGTATGTGTGTGTGTGTGGGGTAGGATTGGTCGAACTCTTTTCCTCCTTTATTTGTCAGAAGGCTGGACGCTGCTGCCTCTTACTGTCAGATTTGAGTTCTGCACAGCACAAATGAGCTCACAGGCGTCACCAGCTTTTTGTGTAGTTTATAGTGCCAAATCGTACCAGCATACTGTGATGTCAAAATGTGTGCCTGCTACACAAAATACATACAGGTTGGCAGGTCTGCACTCTGCAGTAACCAAGTCAGTGCCAAAGCCAGAGTTAAGACATTAAAATTATATAACACAGATTCAACCATCCAAAATACAGTATTTCAGTTCATACACAGTTATATACCATAATAACATAACTTTAAGTAGATTATACTGGATTGTAATAAATGAGTTAAAATGAAATACTGATGGACTAAAGATGATTAATGTATGGAGTAATGTTTGTGTTAGAAAGCTGGGATGCTGTTCCATCTTGCATTCCAGCTCTCAGCTAGCAGGTTAGGTGAGGGCTGTGTCATATTTAGGGCTTTAGGTAGCAGGAACTGTGTTAGCCCACTGCTACATCAAAGAGACATGAACGTGTCATAAAATGCATTTAAAGGACTGAAATATGCTAATAAACAAATAAATAAATAACTGAATGAATGAATCTGCATTACTAAAACACCTGAACTGAGCTCTGCACACAACTACACAGAGCGTAGATACACAACAGCAGCTCATCACACACAACTACACAGAGCGCAGATACACAACAGCAGCTCATCACACACAACTACACAGAGCGCAGATACACAACAGCAGCTCATCACACACAACTACACAGAGCGTAGATACACAACAGCAGCTCATCACATACAACTACACAGAGCACAGATACACAACAGCAGCTCATCACACACAACTACACAGAGCGCAGATACACAACAGCAGCTCATCACACACAACTACACAGAGCGCAGATACACAACAGCAGCTCATTACACACAACTACACAGAGCGCAGATACACAACAGCAGCTCATTACACACAACTACACAGAGCGCAGATACACAACAGCAGCTCATCACACACAACTACACAGAGCGTAGATACACAACAGCAGCTCATCACACACAACTACACAGAGCACAGATACACAACAGCAGCTCATCACACACAACTACACAGAGCGCAGATACACAACAGCAGCTCATCACACACAACTACACAAAGTGCCGATACACAACAGCAGCTCATCACACACAACTACACAGAGCACAGATACACAACAGCAGCTCATCACACACAACTACACAGAGCGCAGATACACAACAGCAGCTCATCACACACAACTACACAGAGCGTAGATACACAACAGCAGCTCATCACACACAACTACACAGAGCGCAGATACACAACAGCAGCTCATCACACACAACTACACAAAGTGCCGATACACAACAGCAGCTCATCACACACAACTACACAGTGTAGATACACAACAGCAGCTCATCACACACAACTACACAAAGTGCCGATACAAAACAGCAGCTCATCACACACAACTACACAGAGCGCAGATACACAACAGCAGCTCATCACACACAACTACACAAAGTGCCGATACACAACAGCAGCTCATCACACACAACTACACAGAGCACAGATACACAACAGCAGCTCATCACACACAACTACACAGAGCGCAGATACACAACAGCAGCTTATCACACACAACTACACAGCGTACAGATACACAACAGCAGCTCATTACACACAACTACACAGAGCGCAGATATACAATTACACATAGATACTCATTACACAGATCTACACACAGTGTAGATACACAACAGCAGCTCATCACACAGAATTATGTTCCAATCTGGCTTTTTCCCATATCACAGTACTGAAACTGCCTTAGTAAAGGTCCTAAATGACATTGGTCTATATTTCAGTTCTGATGCTCTTGGACTTTAGTGCTGCCTGTATCATGGTTGACCACAGTATTCTTGTACACAGCCTGGAAAACTGGGTGGGACTCTCTGACAGTTGATAACTAAATGCATCTTAATGTCCTGTGGCTAAACAAAGACAAAACAGAAGCAATAATATTTTGCCCAAACAAAGAAAAAAATCAAAGTCATTGCTTTTCTAAGTTTTAAGGCTTTAATCCCTAAAACACAAGTCAAAAACCTCCAAATTGACTCCTAACTCAGCTTCAACAGCCATATCAAATCCACCACAAAGTCAAGCCTATTATCATCTAAGGAACATAACAAAATTCTGAGATTTTATGGATGTCAAAGATTTAGATAAACTCATTCATGCATTTATCTCTTCAGCAGGCTAGATCACTTTAAAGGCCTCCCCAAAAAACATGGACATTACATGGACATGTCCTAATTACATTACTGGTATGCAGGTAATTAAGATCTAAAATAAACCTCAGCAGCCAGTTGTACCAGCTGAATGTAAGTTAGATCATAGCCTAGCTTGAGCCTAAACCGCCACTATGTTCAAGTTTATGAGCTAACAGAATTTAACCAGTTGCACCAAGTAACACAGTTTCGACATAGCTTTAAATTATCACTTAAATTTTACGCTGTAGTAGGTGAAAGTTCTGCCGTAACAATCCGCTAAAATGGCTGATCCATTTGATCAATGGAAAAACTTGCAAGAATGTGAAATATGTCTCGGTTTGCATTGACAGCCACTGCTACAGGATAGATTACACCCGTTTTTATTGACCAGAGAAAGAAAAGATCACAGATCTCCTAGCCACAGATTTGCAACACGACGCAGACAAGAATGAAGCCAGGAGTCCTACTTTACCAGTGCGTCTGGCATTGAGTTAATCTGCTACAGGGTCATTCCAAAACCTGGTGGGCATCTGTTCAAATACATAAGTCAACTGCGTGCAGCTCCATCAGTGCTCAAGTCGTGTGTGAGGCTGACCTTATTATCATACAACACATAGCACAGATTATTTTTAAAAATATAATTAACATAACTAACATTACCTTTCTGTCATTCAGCAGATTCAAACAGCGATTACATTAGCTGCAGCTTATGCGTAGTAGTTTACCGCAGTATATCAACACCAGACAAACAGAGTCCTCCTTTAGGTACGTTTAAACTGAAAATAGTGCTTTTGTGTCGTGTTTGATCTACAGTATCATCAATTCTCCGTGTTTTGGAGTGACTGAGCGCTGCTTCAAGTTAGCCAGCTGCTAAAAACAGCTAGCCTGGAAAGCTAGCGCTCTCCCGCTCTCCAATGTCTCACAGCTTCCTCAGTTTATTTTTGTTTAAATCTGGGCTGTAATTTACATGAACCCACTTTTTTCTTTCACTTTCATTATTGGAATGCACCAATACTTAAATATGACTGTCCGAGCGCTGTAACAGCTTAGTTGTGAGTATCAGACGTGATTTAACGCTGCTAAAGCTGGTTAGGATGTCCGGAAAGAGGTGAGTTCACTGTAGGTCAGTAGAGTTACACCACTGACCTCGTCACTCACACTCGGTCACATGAGAGCGGATCGCCCGTCGCTCCACTCAAACAGGGAATGATAACTCCGCGTTTCAGCCAATGCTAAAGACTCATCTTACTCGTGGCCCCCTCCCTCTCTAATCATGTCGAAAAACTCGGAAGTGCGCCCTCTCCTGGCGACAATGGAATTGTGTTGCTTTCCTTCCAGTAGAAAACGCCACCAAGGCTTTCGCTGAACGTGGAAATGTGAGAATGGTGTATTATATCGGACATGCCTTATCGCTCTATCGAGGAAAAGTTATCATTATCATTATCGTTTTATCGCCCAGCCCTACTACTACTACTGACATACTTTAAGCAAAGTAGCCCATGAAGAGAGAAACTTCACTGCGTGTGGAGATCATGCGTGTAATGTTGCCTGTTCATGTAGGGTAGCGTTACTGATTGGCTGCAGAGTGAAAACGTCATTCTATGCGACAGTGTTTTGATCTGCAATCACTTCACACTCTACTAGTTAAGATGTACCATAAACGTCTGTGGTGCAACCAAAATTCTGTGTCACTAGTTTTGAACTAACTGCTCTCAATGTAAGGTTTAGGATGGACTTTACACCCCAAATTACGTTCAGCTGGTGCAACCGACTGCAGATCAGTAGAGTTCAATCACTTAACAGTGCCTAGAACCGGGACTACACACTGAGGGAGCATTTAACCATCATGCTGCCGTTAACTGGAACAAACTTCCTGAAGCTGTGAGATGTGCTCAGATTGTTAGCGTTTTAAAAATAGACTGAAAATGTATCTGTGCAACTCTACATTTCACACAAACTAAGTTTCTGTTAGCACTTTATTCTGCACTTTATATATTTAGTTATTTTATTTTTATGCTTTTTTTTACATTGTTTTATTTCCATTTTTAATGCTTTAATAATGTAAAGCACTTTGAATTGCCTCTGTGTAAGAAATGTGTTATATTAATACATTTGCCTTTGCCTTAAAATCTGCAGTGCAGTATGTAGTATTGTTGCAGTTTTTAATACTGCAGTACAAACACAGTAAAACTGACACAGTACAAAAGTAGTGTTACTGGTTTAATAAAAACAGCAGTCTAGAGCGCAGCAGGATACTACTGTAAATTCTAGTACTGTAGTACTGTATTTGTTTTATTTGTGTAATAAATGAAGTAAAACGGAATTACTGGATGGAATTACTTTGGTATTAAAAAAAATGATGTACATTATCCAGTAATACAGCTTTTAGTTTTTTTTTTAGTGTGTCCATTTTACTACACCTGCATTTAATACAGTGCAGTAACTGCAGTTTTACTAAAACGCTACAGCCCTGATATTACAATTTGGGGAATATTTTAAGACTTCTGTGTTCAAACACCCTCAATCAAGAGAATTTCACTGAAATTTTTGACCTTTCTTGTACACAACTATACACACATGGGCAAGACAGATTCCGGTGCTTCAGTCACAACGCAAAAGACAGGAAGCTGGATATAAATGTACCTGCCGATTTATCAGGTCATCTACATTTGTGGTCATTTTACCAGACATACTGCATTGTATTATTGCGCCTGTAACAATTCACTATACCATATCTATATCTCTCGATATATAAATAACAGTAACAATAATAATGATAATTATTATTATTATTGACTCCAACACACACACACACACAGAAAGCTTTCTGTACCTGAGCGTCTCCAGTCTATAGTGTGGATCCTCCAGTCTAGCAGAGAGCAGCTTCACTCCTGTATCTCCTGGGTGGTTGTAGGTCAGATCCAGTTCTTTCAGATGTGAGGGGTTTGCACTCAGAGCAGAAGCCAGAGAAGAACAGCCTACCTCTGTAATCATACAACCAGATAACCTGCAGAGAAGAGGGGAAAAGATCGAGACAAGTAAGAGACGTGGCATTTAAAGTTATATACAAAAGTTCAGGCACTGATCAAATTACACAAGAAGGGTCTGGCTGCAGGCATGCACTCTCAGCCTGACATGCATGGCCAGCCTACTAATGACAGTGTTTTTGTCACTTTTTTGAGAAAAAACAGTGAACCACTTACTGTTGGACAACAAGAGTTACACTAAACATACACTGATAATGATAAGGTAAATAAAATCTGCACAAAATTCTGGGTGTTACACATAAACACACTGACATCAAATAGACAAAATAATAAATTTCACCCAATAGCTTCTCAAAAAGAACTAAACCAAAAAACTATTTAAAAAACGACTGTCCTTCCGGTAGATCTCAAGATAAAGAAAAAACATACTCAGTTGGTATTTATAGCTAATGATAAAGGGGAATTTTTTTCTTCATTTAATTGTGTTAGTCTTCATAAATCTGACCAATTCAAAGTGTTTGTAAATTGTTTTTAAATGTAAGATCATCCAGTTGCATAAGCAGAAAGTCAAAAGAAAAAAATGAAAAATCCAGAGGTTCCAAAACTGAAGTTAAAAACATTATTAAAAATTACAGACAAAATTAGAATCCTAGCAACTGTGCAAGACCTGGTAGACAACCAAAAAAAAAAACAGAACTTTCATCTTTGACAGAAAAGAAAAAAAACAAGCACCACTCTTGCTTCAGATCTAAAAACATCCCCAAGTGTTTCTGTGCATCCTTCCTCTGTCAGAAGACAACTCAGTAATATGGATCTGAAAGGATGTGGAGCTGACAAGATGCTCTTACTGAGAAATTAAATCTGCACTCAAACACTGAAACTGGACATTTGAGATATCAGAAGGCAGTATATGCACCGATAAAGCACTATATTCAAATTACATTATACAAAACTCTCTAAAAACATCTGATTAGGAAGAAATTCTTTCTGCAACAAGATAACAACCCCAAGCACACTGCTGAATACATCAAGATGTATTAATCATATAAAGAACCTGTTGATGTTTTCAGAAAAAGACTTCAACAGCACTGAATGTGCTTAAGATTATAAGCAGAAAACACAATCATTGTCTAAGACTGAACTTTGTAGGAATGTAAAAATATCTCTGCAGTTTTCTCTGAAACACAAAGCAAGTCTTCCCAACAGATTGGTAGCTGTAATAGACCATTCTCACACTTCCATGTTTGTTAATTTGGAAGAGTAAATAGTAGCATTAAAAGGCTTCCGGTCATGCTGTACATAATGGCTGATATTTCTCAAAGTCCTTGCTGCATTTCTGCATGTACCAATAATTCAACTAAACATCCTCACCTGTGTTTCCATTCAGTAATGTGGTAAGTACAAGTACTTAAATACTTAAATAAGTACTGTACTTAAGTACTTTTTAAGGTATCTGTGGTTTACTTGAGTATTTCTGTCACTTTATACCTTTAATTTTTACTCACTACATTTCAAAAGAAAAATCTGTACTATTTACTCACTACATTTTCAAAACAGACTCGTTTCTTTAGTTTTAACAATCTATGAATCTATTTTATCTTTCTATCTATTATTTATGTATTTTTAATCAGCCAATGACATGAAAGCATCTAATGCAGCATAAATCAGCTCCATACTGGATGTGACACGGGGAGGGGGGTTTGTAGAGTGAACCAGTGTTTGGCTACTTCCACAAAAACGTTCATAAAAAACCCACTTGGCCCTGGCTGTACTTAGAGGAATTATTTGATCTGGTGTTCAGTATTGACTGCTAAAATAAAAATGAACATGTTTTTTTTCTTAGTAGAGATTCCATCAATATCTATCTCAAATTCTTGTCAAGGAAATCAAAACATGTAAATGTGTTTGGCTGCTCTGGACGAGTGCATTTTTGTGGGTGATGCCTGCAGTTCTAGTTTAAACCATTATGTACGCTCAGTTTGATGGATGTTTACCTCCAACCCCCAATAACAACTATGCTCCTGTTAACCACACTCCAAAGAAAGGGAGGCTAAAAACCAGCAACCCTCCATTGCAGCTCTGTTAAATGGTGCAGGCGGAAGTTCCATAAAACTACTATTTACAGATGGATGCCACAATGAAGTGACAGAGAAATGTCTATAAAGGCAAAGGATGGACACTTCTGTGGCAAAGGGTGAAGCTTTGGTGTATTCGCTGTTAAATAAGGGTTTTCTGTCCTTTTCCTAAATCTTAAGAATGACTAAGTCATACTTAACCGTTTGGACTGGATATTTCATGAAAAAGTGTGATCTCTGACACAGAACTGACTGTAGAGAACTCCAGAAAAAATAATATCCATTTTTGTGTAATTTGGTTTGCATAATTCTTACATTCTTAACATTAAATACTTCAGTTATAGTTCAGTATCTGAATATGTTATCAAAAGGTGCGGTTAGGCATGCTGCAGCAACCAGATCAACTCCTCTTATTATTTTTGCCAAAGCAATTATGATCATTAACAATTGCAATAATAATAATAATTTCAATTATTAACAAAAATTATTATTACTGTTATTATTGTTGTTGTTGTTGTTGTTATTATTATTATTATTATTATTATAAGATTATTGTTACTTCATTCATACATTCTTCTTATTACATCTTTTCTTGTCATTATTATTAGCTTGTTGTTGTTATTAATTTATTTAAATGTAAGTATGACTGGAAAAGCTCAAAATGCTCTAGAGCCCTAAAAATAACTGAAGCAAATCCAATGGAACAAAAATATATAACCACAAACACTAGTGGTTAAATATCACTAAGCCAAATTAAATTAATGAAATGAAAAATTATTTGAAATAAGTAAATAAAATTAGAAAAACACAAACAAGTAAATATTATTTGCTATGCGTGCTAGTTTGTTAAGTTGGCTATAATAGTCAGAAAACATAAAATATGTTGGAAACATGTTTACAAGGGATCCACTAACAGCACAGTGGGTTTCAATGAATTGGTGCATTAATACAGAACTTCGTTGATGTGTGTGGTCATATATGTGCAGGACTGGTGTTAGGTCATGCGCACGGCCACTTTGCCAAGACTGTGCCCGTTACAAAATGTTTAAAACAGGAATTTCAGGCATCCCTTTGTATTAGGTGTATTATAGAGAATTGTTGTATGTTTTGGGAAGATCAGTTCACACACAGATCTCCTGCCTGTGACTTCTTTTTTACAGCTGCCTGGATGAACAGTATCTTACAGTGGCTTTGAAAGTGGTTTAGCCAATCAGATGTCTGTTGTTAGACATTCCATTAATTCTATTAATTATACAACGTTCTGTGCATAAGTTATTCACATTAAGTAGCCACACATCTTTATGTCAGTGACTGAAATATAAAATGTAATGTAATGTAAAATATTGTTTTGCATGTGCATTTGGGCAGGTCTGAGGAGGTGGCAGCGCCAGCGTATTGTTGGACTGGATTTTGAATGTCACTCCTCCATCTTTTATGCTCAGTTTTGGAAAGTCTTGTTTATTTAATAATTTTCTATATTTCTGTATTTCTATACATCCTCCTTTATTGTACAAATGGATGACCTAATACAGAATCTCCTGAGAAATCTGTCCTGAACATCAATAATTTGTACTCAATGTCCATTTTGACAGAAAATCAAATTAATAAAGGGTACTCACTGATTTCTGCACAGTACTGTACAGAAACGCATAGTAATAATGTCATACAACCCTAAAGAGAAATGTTTACAATCTATAAATATATGGATTTTATTTTATGGACAGCATATTTTATGGTAGTATATACTTGCTCATACTCTCTGATATAGCATTGCATATCAAGAATAAATTAATAGAAATCTCACCTGAGTATCTCCAGTTTACAGTGTGGACTCATCAGTCCAGCAGAGAGCAGCTCTGTTCCTGAATCCTGAAGGTCATTCTTGCTGAGGTCCAGCTCTTTCAGGGAGGAGTTTATCAGCTGTAAAGCTGATCCTAGATTTTCACAAGATGATCTCCCAATATTACATGAAGATAGTCTGCAAAGAGTGAACAAATATCTTATAAAAGGAAATTAGAAAATGTATGTATATCATAATGTTAGACATAACAGCTACAAATTAGCTTGCATATTTATAGCTTACTGAAGTGCTTCCACTGAGTGTCAAGAGGATAAATACATTTAATAAATAATGTATTTAAATAAAGCCACTTACAGCCACCCACCACTGATCTCTCTGCTGTCAGCTCAACCCCCCACCTACCTGCACACTCTAGCACCCAGCCCCCCTGCTCCAATCTGTGCCTTACAACAGCCCAGGTGAGAAAGGAGCTCAGAAAGATCAAAGTGAGGAAAGCTGCGGGTCCGAATGGCATCAGCACCAGGCTCCTTAAGTCCTGTGCAGATCAGCTGTGTGGGATAGTTGAACACATGTTCAACATGAGCCTGAAGCTTGGGAAGGTACCACAACTGTGGAAAACATCATGTGTGGTACCGGTGCCAAAGACGCAGCAACCAAAGGACCTCAGCAGTTACAGGCTGGTGGCACTGACGTCACATCTGATGAAGATGCTAGAGAGGCTGGTCCTTGTATATCTCTGATAAGCTCTTTTATGGACCCACTCCAGTTTGCCTATAAACCTGGCATTGGAGTGGATGACGCGGTCATCTACCACCTACACAGAGCTCTTTCTCACCTGGAGAAGCCTGGGAGCACTGTAAGAATCATGTTCTTTGATTTCTCCAGTGCTTTTAACACCATACAGCCTAGGCTCCTGAGGAACAAGCTGGAGAACACCGGATTGTATCACCACCTATCAAACTGGATTGTGGACTATCTCACCAACCAACCATAGTATGTGAGGGCACGGGACAGTGTGTCTGACATGGTGTTCAACAGCACAGGGGCCCCGCAGGGTACAGTCCTGGCACCATTCCTCTTCTCCCTGTACACTGCAGACCTCATGTACAGCTCACCAAACTGCCATCTACAGAAGTTCTCTGATGACTCAGCAATCATCGGACTCATTACAGATGAGGACGACAGAGAGTACAGACAACTGACCCAGGACTTTGTGGACTGGTGTCTGAGGAATCATCTCCTGATCAATGCGGGGAAAACCAAAGAGATGGCGGTGGACTTCCGCAGACGCAGTGAACATCCAGGGAAGGGACATTGAGAGGGTGGACTCTTATAAGTACCTGGGTTTCGCAGGTCCTTCCTGCTGCTGTTAGACTCTACAACCACCACTGGTCCCATTAGAACCCCTTCCACCCCCCCACTAGACCTCACAAACCTACAGAACATACTGTGAATTTATCACCTTTTCCTGTGTGCAATATAATCAACACTCTATGTACAATATATTTTAAAAATATCTCCATGGTGTAAATACTCTTGAGCTTTCTATTTATAATTGTTTATAATTTCCCCATTGTGGGACTAATAAAGGATTATCTTATCTTATCTTAAATAATAAAGTCAGCAGCGTGTTTCATTTTCTCACAAAGTGATTTAAGCTTGCTTGAGGTACTGGTTTATATTACACATGGGGATTTATTATGGGTGTAACAGATCACAAATCTCACGGATCGGATCATTTCACAGGTTTTGAGTCAAGGATCGGATTGTTTTTCAGAACATTACGAAAACTTAAAGCATGGAACATTTGCCCATGGTCCTAAATGCAAACAACACAAAATTTTTAATAAAATCATCAGAATAAAATAATAAATACTCATTTGTTACATTGAAGTTCAGTTTGAGGCCTGATGATAACCTCTTTCCAGTACGTTCTGTAACGATTTTCAAAGCTTTGTCAGTTGAATTGGATCTGGCCATTCACAATGAAGATTCAACTATTCGTTCACATTTTTTCCGCATTTAGAGAGAGAGAGAAAGAGTGTGTTGGTGGGGGGCAGTTTGGGAGGGGAAACAGAGAAATCAACAGAGAGAGCAAGAGCTCCAGCATGAACTTGAGCGCGAGTCAGCTGTGTGAAGCTTCAAAACTTTGATTTCTATAAATGGTACATATGATACTGACACACATTAATAGCCCTCCTGTGTGAGACTGTGTATTTTTCCATTAATTATTTTGCGTTGGCAATTGATCCGCAGGTCACGTTCTAATCATCAAGTTCTAAATGAGTGTTTTCATGAAATGGTAAAATGTCTCACTTTCAACATCTGATATATGTTCTATGTTCTATTGTAATGTATGGGTCTATACGATTTGCAATTCACTGCATTCTGTTTTTATGTACATTTATTTACATTTTGCACAGCGTCCCAACTTTTTTGAAAGCGGGGTTGTACATTTTAAAAACAGCACTTAATAATACTTACAGTGGTGCTTGAAAGTTTGTGAACTTTAGAATTTTCTATATTTCTGCATAAATTTGACCTAAAACTTTTTTTGTCATAATAGTAGATACAGAGATCCAAATTAAACAAATGAGACAGAACTATTAGACTTGTTCATTTATTTATTAAGGAAAATGATCCAATATCACATATCTGTGAGTGTCAAAAGTATGTGAACCTTTCCTTTCAGTATCTGGTGTGACCCCCTTGTGCAGCAATAACTGCAACTAAATGTTTCCAGTAACTGTTGATTAGACCTGCACATTGGCTTGGTTTAGCCCATTCCTCCATATAGAACAGCGCCAACGCTGTTATGTTGGTGGGATTCCTCCCATGAACTGCTGCTTCAGGTCCTTCCACAACATTTCTATAGAATTAAGGTGAGGACTTTGACTTGGCCAATCCAAAACTTTAACTTTATTCTTCTTTAACTATTCTTTGGTAGAACAACTTGGGTGCTTGAGGTCATGTGTCCTCATGTTCAGCTCATGGACAGATGTCCTGACATTTTCTTCAGAATTTGCTGGTATAATTCATTAGTGAGTTCATTGCTCCATCAATGATGGCAAGTTGTCCTGGCCCAGAAGCAGCAAAACAGGCTAAAACCATGACACGACGCCCACCATGTTCCATAGATGGGATTAGTTTTTTTATGCTGGAATGCAGTGTTTTCTTTTCTCCAAACGTAACGCTTCTCATTTAAACCAAAAAGATCTATTTTGGTCTCATCCATCTACAAAACCTTCTGGCTTGTCCATGTGATCTTTAGCACACAGGCAGCAATGTTCTTTTTGGAGAGCAGCAGCTTTCTCCTTGCAGTCCTGCCATGCACACCATTGTTGTTTAACAGTGTGAGGCAGGCCTTTAGTTGATTAGATGTTACTTTCAGCTCCTTTTTGACCTCGCGGACTATTACACCCCTTGCTCTTGGTGTGATCTTTGTTGACCACTCTTAGGGAGCATCACAATGGTCTTAAATTTTCTCTATTTGTACACAATCTGTCTGACTGTGGACTGGTGGAGTCCAAACTCTTTAGAGATGGTTTTGTAACCTTTTTCAGCCTGATGAATATCAAAACTCAAAATCTCCTTTGTCTGTGCCACTTCCACAACCATGTGTTGTGAGGATCAGACTGTGATAGATCCCTGTTCTTTAAGTAAAACAGGGTGGTCACTCACACCTGATTGCCATCCTGTTGATTGAAAACACCTGGCTCTAATTTCACCTTCAAGTTACCTACTATTTCTAAAGGTTTGCATACTTTTGCTACTCACAGATATGTAATATTGGATAATTTTCCTCAATAAAAAATTATCAAGTCTAATATTTTTGTTTCATTTGTTTAATTTGCTTCTCTTTATCTCATATTAGAATATGTGTGAAAATCTGAAGTTTTAGGTGAAAGTTATGCAGAAATAAAGAAAATTCTAAATGGTTCACAAACTTTCAAACACCACTGTATAGAAGCACACTACCCATCTCTACAACAAAATGAAAATGTACTTACTCCACCCAAACTGAATGTCAGTCAGATATTTTATGCATTCTATTTATTCTTTTATTTACTTATTTATTTATTTAATTAATTATTTGAGTTTATGCAATATCCCCACAACGTCATCACACTGATAAATTACAGCATACTTTTTGTGCACTTTCTTGTCTGGTAAAGTCTGGTATTTAACTCATCCTAGAATCACAGATCATGACATTTTACGATTTATTCTGCTTCTGATTCTTCAGTAACGCTTTACATTAAGGGTTGCAACTTAAAGAGTGTTTAATATTTATATATTAATAACTCATTAACAACTCATTATTTATATATTAATAAGATGTCCATTAAGCATTAGGTATTATGAGTTACTGATTATGTAATTAGAAATTAGTCATTTACACTGTTAATTAATAGTAAATAAACTATGAACCAATGACTAATGACTAAACTATCAGGTAACAGTTACTAATGACTTAATAGGTAATGAATATTTAATGAGCAGTTAATATATAAATATTTAATTACTTATTTGAATTACGTATTAGCAAATAATTATGCATTAATGTGCGATCCTTCATGTAAAGTGTGACTGATTTTTCTTTATGGCTATTTTGGCTGATTTTCATGAGCCATAAGTTTGTTTGTTTGTTTGCTTGTTTTTCACTTTTTTTATTGCTTTGGATGCAAAAAAACAACAAAAAAAAGACACTAACACTGGTTATTTGCTTGAAGCTCATACTTTTTTGGTGAACTGAAACACTGAAATGGAATGATGAGCTAGTGGGAAGAAATGACAATGTTTAGAGGAGTAACCCATAAACTGTCACAGAAAACCTAGTCATGAACTCCATACATATGAAGTAAAATACCTGATGTAAGAATGCGTTCTTTTTTTAACAGCCAGCCTGGCAGAAATGCATATCCTATTATGTTTTAGGCTTTAAGTTAAATGATTTACTAGAAAATTCACTAAAACTGCAAAATACAAAAATGCACCCATGTTACTTGCATAATTACAAGCACTGAATGGTAGCGTTTAAGCTAGAATTGCTGCTTGATATTAACCTCAGCGCAGGAAAATGAATGTAAACTACTTACAAAGTGAAAGCTTCAGAATTAATGCTCTTTCAAAATAAGTGATGGCTCCAAACTTTCACTTTTAATTGACTAAGATTTTGACATGGCTGCCACACGTTCACTTATGTACTGTTTCTCTATATTTTTTCACCATTGCCATCAGTTATATGATATTACACAATGACGCATCAACTGTCTGATTCACATTTCGTAGTCACAATGGGTCATATATTTTTTACAGACCACAGGTGGGTGAAATAGCCAATTTAAAAAAATCACTACAGACCCACTCATACCAGCACAGCATATACTAACATACCACCAACACATCAATGTCACTGCAGTGCTGAGAATGATCCACCAAATAATATCTGCTCTGTGGTGGTTCTGCAAAGATCCTCACCATTGAAGGACAGGGTAAAAGGGGGCAAACAAAGTTTGCAGAGAAATTGTACAACTGCAAAGGGCACTTACATAAGTGGAGCTGACTAACTGGACAATGAGTGTTGAAATGAGGTGGTGTGAGCTCAGGGGAAACATTAATGTGCTCTCTATAGCTGCCCCAGATGCTCTTTAAATATGACAAAAATATTCCAAATGAGGAGTTACAAACCTATTACAAACCTATTAAGACCCACTGAGAAAGCTGGTAGTTTGGAAAGAAATAATAACAGAGGAAATATTCTGAACTGTGGAGCTGATGTACTGTGTTGTGCTGTGCTATATCAGTCTGTCAATTAAACAGTATTAGCCTATCTACAACAAAAGAATGGATTCTGGGTTCATAAGAAGTCAGCCCACAATGTGCCAATGTTAACACACTTCTGAGTTCATTGATATTGTTATTGTCTGCTTGTGTCATCATTTTATTTCTGAAAATAATTTACAAGTCAAGCATCTGTCAGGTGTTATAGCCTATGTAGCATGCATGCATGTGTTCTGGGGATGAGGGTTTGTAGGGAAACTGAAGATAAAGAGTGTATTTCACCTGGCTTCTGCCTAATTTAAATAACTACCTGAGAATTGTGAGTGCACAGTTTGTGCTTTCACAGCCTAACTTTTTTACATTCAGGAATGAATTTACAGAAAGCTCACCTGAGTATCTCCAGTACACAGTTTGAACTCTTCAATGCAGCAGTGAGCAGCTTCCCTTCTGAGTCTTTCAGGCCAGTGTTACTGAGGTCCAGTGCTTTCAGGAGTGAGTTGGTTGATTTCAGAGCAGAGCAGAGAGTTTCACAGGAGTGTGTGGGAAGTTTACACCCAGCTAGTCTACAAGACAAACATGTACAGTTCATACAAAGACTGTAGAATTCAAGCTCACATAAATCAGGAATAATGTCATTTCTGAGTAAAATAGCACTTTGTATGTTGCGGGTTCTATTATATTCACTCACAAAGTAATGGGCTCAATCTGAATATTTGTTCTGTGTGAATATTCCCATTTGCACATCTTTTTTCCACATTTTGTTTTTTCTCTCTTTTTTAGACAGAAAATGAGAGAAATGATTAGTAGACACTCCATATCAGCCTTTATATTGGCTTCACAGAATATATTTGCAATCTACTGTGTTATGGTAAAATGGATGTCACAGTATCCATGGCCAGAGTTTTATTCTAGTGTCTAGTAATCTTTGTTTTGCTCATTTACATATTCCTGTGTTTTTCATTTCTGCGTGTACATTAATTCCCATTTGCTCAACCAGACTTTGAAAACAAAACATGTGCATGGATCATGCCTCTTCACCCATCATTATTGTCACTACTTTACATTTCTTGTGTTTCTAAAATGCAGCACACTAAATGCTCATGTTATTACTTCTATAACGCTTTATGATGTTACTTTTATAAATCGTTCTGTATAAACCATTTAAATCTGTGGATTAAGTCTCTGAACACTACTGCTTGTAAGAATACTAATGTTACTCTTGTTATTATTAATATTATGTTAATCATCATAATAGTATAATAATAAATATAAATAATAATAAATACAAATAATACCAAATACAAATAGATGTTGTCCTTAGAGTAAATACAAATAGCAGAGTCTTTAAACAACATTGGTGTGGCAAAATCACAACTGCATCAAAAATTTGCCATCTTTTGCCATCTTTAGTGGATAGCACTGTCGATCAAAACTAAGTATTTTCATTTATTCTAGGACTTGTGATTTTACTGAGAACTGAAAGCTCTGTATAAGAATTTGTATTTATCCGAGGCTTGTGCACAGACATTTTGGAGAGCAGGGCAAAAAAACATGAACATGATTTAAACTTAACTAAACTTACAGCATATTAAGTGTTAAGTGTTCTTCCAATGTCAGCAAAAATACTAACACTGCACTGCTATCAATAATGTGTGTTTTTACCACGTTCTCTTACATAAAAGGCTGTATCATTACCCACTGTGATAATTAAAGCAGCACTGTGTAATATTTTTAATGGAAATCGAAAGAAGTAGCATTACTGAGTATGTAGGGGAAAAAAAAGATATTAAAATATGATGAGCTTGCGCCGCCTTGAGTCATCCTGTAAAGGCTGATATAATCAGTTAAAAGAGGTACTGGGACAGATTTTGCAGGAGTTTTTGGACCACATCACGTCTTTACAACATAACGTCACACGTGCAGTGTCAAACAAAAGGTCTGACTCTATGTTTATGCTTCAGATGCAAAATCAACATTATACTGATGAAGATATGATGATAATAGTGGATAATTCACTCACATCCTCGGAAGACACATCCTTCACCAAGTTTACATTGAGTTCTTTTCGAATACTCTTACAACACACTCGCAAAATTTAAGTTCATTTGCTTGTGGAGTTCCGAAGCACCACTGATGTTACAAAATGTTCTTCCACAGGTTGCGTGCAATTACACATAGCTAGTATCCCATTTCACTGCCGCTTGTTTGGCTGTTGTTCATTATAATGACTTCATGGAATGCAACGCTGTCTTAAAGAGAGTATCAGTGTTTTATCAATGGGATTTACAGCCCTGTGGTGATGTGCATTATTCTGTTATAGGTCAGAGTTACTGATATGAAATTTCCCCAGGTGGTGGTACTGAATCTAAACTGAACATTCCTAATATTTACACTGAAACGCTTTGTTACCTTGTTACTTGTGTGCACAATTTATTAGCCATCCTATCCCACTATTACAAGGAAAATGTATTTGTCAACGCAACCCTCTCAGCCATCAATACTGAAATATTAAAATACATTAATTCAGATGTAACACTCACATAGCCTTTCTGCAGTTGCTCACAGCTGGGATCAATCTCAAATGACCACTCCTGGTTGTGTTGTAATTTTTCAGGTTCAGCTCATCCAGCACCTCCTCAGAAGTCACAAGCATGTAGGCTAGTGCTAAACACTCTCCACTAGACAGTTTCTTTTTCGAGTCTTTATTAGATTTTAGATATTCCTGGATTTTTTGGGATAAAGACTGGTCATTCATTTCAGTGAGACAGAGGAACAGGTTGATGGATTTCTCTGAAGTAAGATTCTTTGTTGGTATTAGGCGTTTGATATACTGAACTGTTTTCTTGATGCTCTCTGAGCTACTCACTGTTTCTATCAGAAGGTATTTTAAGAGCTGTTGACTGGACTCCAGTGAAATTCCCAGCAGAAAACGGAGAAACAGATCCAGGTTTCCATTCTCACTCTTTACAGCTTTTTGTACAGCTCCCCTTAGCAGATCTTCCAATGAAATGCTGTCAGACTGCTCTTTGTTCTGTATCTTAAAAACTTGCAGTTCCTCCATGTTCTGGCTCACATAGCAGTGAAACACATAGAGAGCAGCCAGGAACTCCTGAAAGCTCAGATGAACAAAGCAGTAGACCTTCTTCTGGTACAGCAAAAATTCTTCTCTAAAGATCTCAGTGCAAATGCCAGAGTACACTGAGGCCTCAGAGGCATCAATGCCGCACTCTCTCAGGTCCTCTTCATAGAACATCACATTGCCCTTCATCAGCTGTTTGAAAGCCAGTTCAGCCAGTTTCAGAAGCAACTTTCTGTTGGATCCCAATAGATCCTTTGGATTTATCTCAGAATTTTCCTCATACTTCTCGTTTCTCATGATTGTCTGAGTGTTCAGGAAGTGTGAATACATTGCAGTCAGAGTTTTAGGAATTTCTGTAATACCCTGTTTCATTATGTGCTGAAGCACAGTGGCTGAGATCCAACAGAAGACTGGAATGTGACACATGATGTGGAGGCTCCTTGTTTTCTTAATGTGTGAGATGATGAAGTTGGCTTGGTCTTGGTCACTGACTCTCTTTCTGAAGTACTCCTCCTTCTGTGGGTCATTGAATCCCTGAATTTCTGTCACACGGTTGATGTACTGACGAGGGATCTGATTGGCTGCTGCTGGTCGAGAGGTTATCCAGATGTGAGCGGAGGGAAGCAGCTCTCCTTTGATGAGGTTGGTCATTATCACATACAGTGGTGACTCCTTGGTTATGTCTGACAGGTTCTCACACTGTAAGAAGCTCAGTGGAATTCTGTTTTCATCCAGGCCATCAAATATGAACACCATTTTACACTCATCATAAATCTTTCTGTCCAGGTCTTTGAGCTCAGGATGGAAGTCACACAGAAGTCTATGAAGACTGTACTGGTGATCTTTAATCAGGTTCAGCTCTCGGAATGGAAGCACAAACATCAAATCTACATCCTGATTGGCTTTTCCTTCAGCCCAGTCCAGAATGAACTTCTGCACAGAGACTGTTTTTCCAATGCCAGCAATTCCTTTAGTCAGCACAGCTCTGAGTTTCTGCACTTGTGGACCTTTAACTTCTCTTTCTTCATATCTGACATCTTCAGCCATCACAGTTCTGATGCTGTCCTCTTCCATTTCTCCTACAGTGCACTGTACAGGTTTAAAGATATCTAAGCAGTTAATTGGGGTATCTTGCCAGTGTTGGTCCCAGAGTGTTTTTTCAATCTGTAGAACTTCATGTTCTTCATTCACTCCTTCACTCTCTCCCTCTATGATGTAGAGCTGAGTGTAAATCCTGTTCAGGAGGGTTTTATTCTCTTGTGTTTTGAATCCCTCAAATAAGCTCTCATACCTGTTCTTCATTCTGGTTTTATGTCTCTCTAAGACTCTGTGCAGAACATCATCCAGTGGATGGCAGTAATTTTGCTTCATGGACTCCTCTGTGTTGGAACATGGATGTGTAACAGGACGTGTCTTAGACCTCTTTCTGCAGTGGAGACAGGCAAAGTCTCCTGACTGAGCAGACTGGTTCCAATAGCTGTTGATGCACTGTCTACAGAAAGTGTGTCCACAGTTGATAGAGACCAGATCTGTCTGAATCTGCTCACATACTCCACATTTGGACTGATACTGGAGTGACGCATCCTTGACACACCTAGAGAAAAGAGAGAGAATGAAAGAAAGAGAAGAGCGTAAGGCACAAGGAAGTGTGTAAACACAAGGCAGTGTACTGTAGTATTGACACATGTGCACAGCTCAAAAACTACTCCACCCTGAACTACAAGCCAGTAAAAACACACCAAACATTAGCATTGTTCTTACACCCAGTTTTAAGTGTGTGTGGCAGTAATGGCTACTGTCCCAACAAACATTATGTGCCTGCACAGAAAATTAAAATACATTTATTTGAACTGTTGAGGTACTAGCAGTCTGAGGCATTCTCTTCTCACAAAAATACTCTGTGAAAGAGTGAGTGACAGCAGTACAGTTGTCATTATACCTATAACGCTTCTGCCAACAACAAACTTTCCAGTATCCACTACGGAAAACAAAACATGCCAAAATAAAAATAAATAAATAAATAAAAAAATAAACCAAAACATTATTATTAAACATTAACTATTGGTTAATCATAAAGAAAACAGTGTGTTCGATTACTCTGTCCTGTAAATTAAAAATAAATATTTTGTATCAACACTTATTTAAGCTCAAAGTGGACAAGTCAAGCTCTCAAATAGTCATGGTCAGCTATCCAGCTCTCTAAATGAACTTTCAGAAGAAAAATCAGGACGTTTTTTAGCACAGCTGACAATCATTGCTACGTCTTTACTCTGGGTCAGTCAATTATTCCTCATGTTATTCTTCTTATCCTCTGCCACGGAAATAACTTCTGATTATGACTGAAACGTGCTGCTCACCTCATATCAGAACTTGTTCTTTCATTACTGAAAACAGTAGGCTTGTTGACTGACTTGTTGCTCTTCATAGACACATGGCTGGGCTCTGGAGGTTCAGCTCTCAAAGTCTGCAGTCTGGAAATGCAATTTGGAGACAAGATAAAGAGAGTTTAATCTGGGTATTAGAAGACAGCCGATCAGACAACTGCTGATATAGATAGAAATAAAAAAAATGAGTGAAACTCACTATCATGTTGTATTCATGTCTCACCTCATGTCAGTACTGGTTCTTTCTTTACTGAAAACAGGAGGCTCAAACATTGAGTTGTTGCTCTTCATAGACACACAGCTGAAATCTGGAGATTCTGCTCTGAATGTCTGCAGTCTGGAAATGTGATGTAAAGACATAAAAAAAAGATGTAAATATTAATGTGGATAAAAAGCTACATCAGACAGCTGATTAAATCTGCCGCAATTAGAATTCAGATATTAGGAGATCTGGTTTCTAACCATTTAGAATTAAAAACATTAGCAAGGATAATGTAATTAAATAAATCTTGTCCTCTTGTCACCAGAGATAAAATAAATTAAATATTTATTGTCCATATTTATTTAAGCTAAAAGGGGACCAGTCAAGCTGAAAAGCCCCGGTCAATTGTCCAACTCCCTAAATGAACATTCAGAAGAAGAATCATTTTATGTCACAGTTGACAATAATTGTTTTATTCTCAAAATTTCAGTTTATTATTGCTACGTCTTTTTTCTCTGTGACATTCACAAACACCTTTACTTTGAGTCAGTTAAATTTTCTGCTTGATCTATTGAAGCTGGTGATGATATCTTTCATATTGCAATTCCCAGAACCCCTGGGTGAACATGTGACTCCAATGTCACAACACTCTACCTACCAGAGATCAGCCTCACCTGACTATTGATATGACTCTCCTGGTTAGTTCATCACATGGTTTGTTTAGTTAGCTTATAAGCCCGGGCTTTAGTTTACTTCATTGTGAGGTATTGCTTCTTTCACCAAGCTACTGAACATCATTTATTATGTTTGTTTATTGCAGTTTGTCGCATATTTTGGATCTGACCTTTGCCTGTTTTTTGACCACAACTTGAATCTCATAAAACCAGTAAAACCTCTTTTGATCATTGTACCTGTAAACATCTGACTCATTCTGTCTCATTACAGGGATATAAAATGCAAATAAATACATGTTTTAATTATTTATGTAATTCCACATTTATTTATGTATTTCTTTATATAAGGTTTATTGCCGATTTATTGTCAACACTTATTGAATCTCAAAGTGCACAAGCCAAGCTGTGAAATAGTCCTGGTCAATTGTCCAGCTCCCTAAATGAACTTTCAGAAGAAAAGTCATTATGTACTACAGCTGAGTTGAGAATAACTGCTGCACCTTTTTTTTCTGTAACATTCACAAACACCTTTACCCGGGGTCAGTCAAATTGTTGATTTGAGCTGTAAAAGCCGGTGATGACCTCTTTCATACCACTCAATTTGTCCCATAGGTTATTCCTCTTATCCTCCACCAGTTCATTCATCATCCTAGCCAGGGAGATAATTTTACCATTATGACTGAAACGTGCTGCTCACCTCAGGTCAGTACTGTTTCTTTCATTACTGAATACAGGAGGCTCAAACATTGACTTGTTGCTCTTCATAGAGACACAGCTGGGCTCTGGATGTTCAGCTCTGTATGACTGTAGACTGTAAATGTGATGTGGAGACACAAGAAAAATATGTAAATATTAATGTGGATAAAAAGCTACATCAGACAACTGATTACATTTATAGTAATTAAAATTCATGTAGTAGGAGATCTGGTTTCCATCCACTTACGATTAAAAACATTATGAAGGATAATGTAATTAAATAAATCTTGTCATCTTGTCAACAGAGATAAAAAAAATTACACTATATTGCCAAAAGTATTCGCTTGTCTGTCTTCACACGCATATGAACTTGAATGACATCTCATTCTTAATCCATAGGGATTACTATGATGTTGGCCCTCCCTTTGCAGCTGTAACAGCTTCAACTCTTCTGGGAAGGCTTTCCACAAGGTTTAGGAGTGTGTTTATGGGAATTTTTGACCATTCTTCCAGAAGCACATTTGAGGAGTCAGACACTGATGTTGGACGAGAGGGCCTGGCTCGCAGTCTCCACTCTAATTCATCCCAAAGGTTGAGGTCAGGACTGGTGTGCAGTCATGTTGGAACAGGGAAGGGCCACCCCCAAAGTTGGGAGCATGAAATTGTCCAAATTTTTTTTAATCGGATAAAATAAAAAAAATAAAAATAAAAAATCGGGTAAAAATTAAAAGATTTAGTGTCAACATTTACTTAAACTAAAAGGGGACCAGTCAAGCTGACAAAAAGCCCTGATCAATTGTCCAGCTTCCTAAATGAACATTCAGGAAAAAAAATCAACTGTTTTATTCTTAAACTTTCAATGTATTATTGCTATGTCTTCTTTTCCATGACAATAACAAACACCTTTACTCTGAGTCAGTAACATTTTCTACTTGATCTATTGAAGCTGATTATGACCTCTTTCATAAAACTCCATATGTTCCTGATGTTACTCCTCTAATCCTCATTCATCCTCAGCTCATTCATCATTCTAGCCATGGAGATAAATTTTACCATTATGACTGAAATGTGCTGCTCACCTCAGGTCAGTACTGGTTCTTTCATTACTGAATACAGGAGGCTCAAACATTGACTTGTGGCTCTTCATAGACACACAGCTGGGCTCTGGAGGTTCTGTTTTGTATGTCTGCAGTCTGGAAATGTGGAGACACAAAAAAAAGAGTTTACTTCAGGTATCAGAAGACAGCTACATCAGACAACCAGTAATATATTAACTTTACAACATCCAGCATTTCTCAGTTACGCAACTGGGCACCACTAAAGTTTAGAGTTTATTTTATTTATTTTTTAAGTTTAATATTTTGAATTTACACCTTGGGCTGTTTTGAATAAACACTATTAATCTGTGTCATTTTGGAAAAATAAAAAATACTTGGTAATTGAATGTAACTCACTTTGAGTCAGAGGTTCCTTCTCCACTGCTGAAGTGATGAGGCTCCATCATGAGGTTTTCAGTCTTCACAGACACAGCAGGACACTGGACACTCTGCTCTCTGTGAAGAGTTTCACATTTACAGTGTGAACAGGAAACTGAATCACAGGTTATCATGAACTGGATGTCACTGCAGCAAATGTACCTGTACTTTTTTGTGAATGGCGTATGCCTGTGTTCCCTCACTCCCACATAATGTCTCTAAAAATATTTAAAATGGAAAAAAAAATATTGGCTTGAGCAGAAACTACAAATTTAAGAAAAGGTTGCACATGATTGAAGGTGGTTCTGTTAGACATTGTTGTTATTACTTCTGATATAAGTTATGACGTCATAAGTCTGAACTTATTACAGTATTACAATATTAAAAAAACATTCTTTTCTGAGAAGTTCTTATGTTTCATAACTGATAAGACTTGTATTACTGGGGAACTACAGGATGTGCAATAACAGTAAGGTGAAAAATTATAATGCATTCAGACAGTACATTGATGTCAGGGCCAAAATGATATTTACACTTTAAAGTAAAATTGTTTACTCTATAATACAGTGAATATGAAAGAACAGGACTTCCTAAACAGATATTGAACTGTCTTGAACTGAGGCCTTAAAATGACCAATATATATGGTTTAAGGCCTGGTTCTCTCTATGCATCTACACAGACCAAAGACTGGGCCACTAAACACTCATCTCAACATACAAGAGCCCTGCTGAAAAGGACCATTAGAAACTACTAGGAATAAAACCTCACTTTCTAATGGGAATTGGCTTAATGGTTTCCAGCTAGTTTTCTGTAGAACACCTTTAGGTTCCATTAGGAAACCATCAAATGCATTTAGAATCAGCCACTGGCCATCTGTTAAGCCATTAGATTCTTTTACGTTGTGATATCAACCCATCAAAAAATCCAAAATGCATTAGAAAGACAACAAAAACACGTAATGGTGTCTATGTTTTTACAGCAGGAACGTTATGCATAATAAAAAAGTAGTTTTAATATTTTAACATTAAGAGCTGTGTCAGATCAAAGTACAAAAAAGAACCAATGGGTATAAACCCTGTGTGGCACGCGCCCGCCCCCCGGGACCCGACGATGACGGCCGCAAGAGCCGGCAGGAAGGCGGGGCCTGAACATAGAGCGGCGACGAACACCGGCGAGGACGGCGGGGAGAGAGCCGCGAGTCGGTGGGGGGCGGAGCGCAAAGCCCGAGCTCCGAGTGACGTGAGTGACGACGGTGCCGGCAAAAAGAGGCACGAGGGCAAGGAGCGAGTCCCGAGCTCCGCCCCCTGTTACGCAGCGAGGCCGCTTCACCACCCCTCACGTTCGACTGGCCGAGCTGCCAACTGGGCGGTGACGAGGAGGCGGAGCGGCGAGCTCTCGTTCCCTCTCGGCTCGGGTGGTCACGCTGCCCTTAATGAGAGCCAGCTGATCTGGCTGGCAGCGGGAGCGCCTTTTAAAAAGAACTGAGAGGAAACAGACAGACAGACAGACAGACAGAGACGAGCAGCAGCGACTGACGAAGAGCTGAAAAGCTCGAGTAAAAAAGTCTAGTAAGTTAAAAGCCACTGAAAGTGTAGCACAGAGCTGGTTTTGGTTCTGTTAGCTTTATCCGATGTGTCATTAAAGAAAACGGCTGCTGAAACCCTGAATCCCGTCTCCAGCGTCCTCCTTGAGCCCGGGGTGGCACATGCCGTGCTACACCCTGACCTAACCTCGATCATATTATTTCCATATTTTTTTAACATATTTATACAAAAGCGTTTCTGTGGTGTTTCAGTGTCAGCAGCCACCTTGGAAATGAACTCCACCACTGAGTTTAATAAAGAATCAACAGACACAAACACACAGCTTCTCTACTCTAAACTACCAGATCATCTTCAACAGACCAGTTTAGTACTAATCTTAAAGCCTACCGTCTGAAATCCTCCACATCTGTGATCTTCTCTGTTTCTCTAACGGCTCTTCATCTTCAACTTACTTTCGGTTTGACTCACTGAGACTGCAGCTCTTCCTGTGTCTCTGATTGGTGGATATAAACCACGTGACCTGTGTCTCCTGACTCATCACACAGTGCATGTCGCCCTCTAGTGTCAGAAGTGTGAACTCCCAGAAACGTCTCTCCCACACGAGACCTTCACCACCCTGATCCAGATAATCCATCTGATCAGCTCAGCAGGACACATTTACTGTAGCTGAAGATGCAAACAGAGCTCCGTCCACTACAGTCTGACCAGGAAGGGTATCTGGAGCTCATCATCACAGCAGCTCAAAGTCCTCATTGGTGGAACAAGTTACCGCCCTGCATTCGTCCTGCAGGATCTCCACCTTTAGAGAAGCTGTTTAAACTGAGCTCTTCTGAGACACTGAGTCATTGTAACTGTTCCACTCATGATCTTCCTCCCTGCTCACCGTCTCATTCTGCATCATCATGGTTTGGACTGTGTCTCTTCTCACTGGATTCTGCTGAAATGTGCTCTTGTTGATCTGCTCTTAGTGGATCATGGAGCTTTTAGTCTCACTGAAAGTTCCTCTTTCCCCTCTATAGCCGTCTGCTCTGCTCCTCAGACCAACTCATGCAGCTCCTGTATCACAGCTGCTTCTTGTCACAGCTGTAAGTTTGGAGTAACTGCTTCACTTGAGCTGCTTCAGATCAAATCATCTGTCAAATGACTGTACATGTAAAATCAGCTGATGAACTGATTGATGAAGACTGAAGAGAATAAGAGCTCTAATATCAGCTTTTCAGCCAGAGGACTGAGCTGTTATTCCACATCTGAGTACAGTGAACACACGATGGACTGTGTGGAGATGTGTTTATAACACTGTGAGTTTCTGCTGTTTTATTATTTGCACTGTTGACTTTCTGAATCACTGAATGGATGAATTTGTTGTTTTCCATCACAGAAACAGCCTGATAACCTTTTCACATCACTGAACATGTGATTTAAATAAAACAACCCTAAACAGAGAAAACTTCACACTGTCATCACCTTTACAGAGTGGAAATGGAATAAGCTCTACAACAGCTTATAACAGTGTTATAAACCCTCTTCAGCTCCTTCTAGTCTGAGAGATGTTTGTCCTGAGTTTTGTTGAAGACTGTAAGAGTAGAGAATGAATGGTGGAGTTCACTTCCTGCAAGACTTCAGAATGAATGAACGAACAAATAAATAAATAAATAAGTAAACAAACAAAAAAAATAGCAGAACAGGAAGACAAACAAAAAAATAGAAGAAACGGAAAATAAATAAACAGAAAAGTGAAAATAAATAAACATGGGACATAAAACAATAAATAAGTAAATGAAAAAATACATCCGAAAATGAATAAAATAAGAAACCAATAAGAAGCAGAAAATGAAAATAAATAAATAAGTAAATAAATAAATAATAGCAGAAAAGTAAAAAATAAACATATACATTTGGGACATAGGACAATAAGTAAATAAATAAATAAACTACAATAAAATAAACTAAGAAATAAATAAATAGCAGGAAAAATGATAAATAATCATGACACAAAAAACTGAATAAATGAAAATAAATATATAAATAAAAAAATAAGCAGCTGAAAAGTAAAAATAAATAAATGTGGGACAAAAAAATAAGTAAATAAATAAATAAATAAAACCGAAAATGAATAAATTACTAACAACTAAGTGGCAGAAAACGAAAATAAATAAATAAACAAATTAATAAATAAATGAATAAATAAACACAGTTCAGTAGTTAATGTTATTTATCCTGTAAACTGTTGCTGTCTTTGTTTGATGAAATCTGGCTGCGGCTCCAAAATAAGAATATCTAAAATGGTTCCCAAACTTTTTACACTCCTGACCCCCTTCAGACATTAGACCACCTGCTGCGACCCCCTCTCACTCCTTATACACACACATGCACACATTACCATAATGAGTATGTGAGACATTTAGCCTTATCAAATCAGCCCCCTTAAACTGTCAGACATGGTGATGATGTGATGACACTTCACACCAGATTCACTGAATAATCCTGAATAATCAGTGTTATTAATCAGTGCTCAGTGCTCTGTATGAGGGCACGTCTGCATGTGAGACACTCTGTGGCTGTAAATTGAACAGTGAATAAAAATGTTCACTATCATGTTCCACAGATCACACTCAGCACAGTCACATCATCTGTTCAGTGAGCTGACAGTGACCCTAAATAACCACCGCAGCCTCTACAGCCTTTACCGAGTCACAGTGTAAACCTTCACAGCTGTTCAGGCGGAGCACTTTTTAGACGCTCCCTTAAACAGTAGCGCCTCAGTGTTTTTCTCTTAGGAGCTTTTATGTCCAGTAAATTTCACTGAAGGAACTTTTGAAACATTTCTGTTTGTAGTTTGAGCGATAAAATGTAGATCTGATCATTTTACACGTTTATTTAATGAGAAACCGAAGAGAGTCGAATATCCAGTGAAAGTCCACCATAAACCCAACTTGACAGCTCTCGTTCAGTTCTAACAGCCCTGCAGCTCCAGCAGCTCCAACACACAACCACAGTGCTGACGGCTCAGCGCTCATCACAGCAGAGGCACACTGACCTCTCACTACAACTGCGGACCGAACCACGTCTGTTAGAGTGAGACTGACCCACAAACACGACCAACAAGGATCACCCAGACCTGAACAGCACCTTAGTTCACCCCCTCACTCCATTCACTCCAGCAGCAGAGGATCCACTGATGAAGGAGCTGTGAGTTCGTTTCTCCAGAGGAGCCGCAGAGAAACGCCTTCTTCTCCAACACAGCAGCCTTTTCCACAGAGAGGAGCGCAGAGAGAGCGGAATCCCTGTCAGAGCAGCTCTGTCATCTTCTGATGATCAACATCCCAGCACTCATCACTCGAGTCCACACGCCGGAGCTGCTGTCCAGAAACCGCTCAGAGTCAGTGAGGGTCTCTGGGTCAGCTGTTGGGCGGAGAGCTGAGCTGAAGAGCTGTTTGAGTTTGTCTGAATGAGGAGTTTCTGTGTAACTGCGTGATGGAATGAAATGAAGACTAAATGAAGTGGAAACGCCAAACGTCAGACTTCTTACGTCCCCCTACGTCATTTGTCGCCCCCCTCTCTGGGGGTCCCACAGTTTGGGAGCCACTGATCTAAACAGTAATAAGGCCAAAGTGAGGAGAACTGAGACTCTGACTCAAACAGCCCTTTAGACGGGTTTCTGAAGCTGTTCAGGACATTAAAACCCTTTTAGCTCCAAACTGAGCGCCAGATGTTCGCGCGAGCGCAGAATGTGTGTCGATGCGCCGCAATGATTGCAGTCCCGCCCACTAACCGCGCGCTCTTGAGCGCAGAGCTTAAAAGCGTTGTGAAATAATGGTGCCCTAAACAGAGAGAGAGAGAGAGAGAGAGAGAGAGAGAGAGAGAGAGAGAGGGAGGGAGAGACAGCGAGACAGAGAGACAGAGAGAGAGAGACAGGGAGAGAGAGAAAGAGAGAGAGAGAGAGAGAGACAGAGAGAGGGAGAGAGACAGCGAGACAGAGAGAGAGAGAGAGACAGAGAGAGAGAGAGACAGGGAGAGAGAGAGAGAGAGACTTTTTGACTTTTGACGGTCCTTTATTGAACCAGCATTTTTTTAAAACAGTCATCCGTCACAATGTGTCATCTTAGGCTATATTCAAATAAATTAATTGATTAAATAAAAATAAGACAAACACTTTATAAATAGATAAAAACAAGAAAACAAATAAAGCTCAGTCCAGCTCATCTGAGCTCAGGAGCGAAGCAGAGCTCACCCTCGCACACCGAGCACACGGCCCCACCACAGCACCACATCGCCTCAAAGGCCTCCACATCACACATGGTCTTATAATAATTTAAATCAATTAAAATCCTTGATCTCACCAGCCTAGAGAGAATCCTTGTGGCCTCGCAGTCAGTACCATGCGCCACCTTGTTCTTACGACTGATATATATCGCCATTTTCGCCTGCCCAAGAATGAAGTTGATCAGTTGGCATTTGGATTTCTCTCTTTTGACGTACTTAAAACCAAGGATAAAAGTCTGGAGTGTAAAAGTCACATTAAGAGACCTAAGAACATTCTTTAAAACTTCAAACAAAAAGCAAAGCCTAAAACAGTTTCTCTCTGAGGACAAAAAGGACACTGTGGTAAAATCTCAGGATTTAAAACAGAAATAAAAGCGTTGACTGAGACAATACTGTGTAAAATCCTCCACTGCAGGTCAGCTACTTTTTTAGTCAATGGTGGTTTATACAGTGCTCTCCACTCTGGCTTCACATCATCACTCAGATTAAAAACATCACGCCATGGTGTGTCGGTTCTACTGTGCAGTCTTTTCTTATTCAGTACCTTCACACAGGCTCTGTACAGCAGCTTACCAGACACTGTCCCCAAGTTCATTCTAGACTCCCCCTCACACTCCAGAAGGGGGCCTTCACAGTCCTGTAGGTCTGGCGTGATAGTGATGTCCAGGAATGGGTCATGCTCTGTAGGACTGACCACCCCTGCACTGTAGGCCCTCACCTGCTCGCGTTCCTCAGGAGAGAGAGCTGTCCTCCAGCCCTCGAGCAGCTGAGCCACAACTCGCAGGGATCGCATCCCCAGTCTCGCAGCCACGTCCTCCACCCGAGTGAGATCTGGTCCTGCGACGTCCACCAGCTGGCGGAGGGTTGTGACTCCTGATGACAACAAGACTCTAGTCAGTGCAGGGGTGATCGTGCCCGCCAAGTCCAGTCGTGTGCCGTTGAAAAGAGGCTCCTCCAACAGCCAGTGCAAAGCGGAGCCAGCCTGTTTATTTACATTAAAAAAGTCCCAGATTTTAAAAAGTCCTCGATAAAAAACAGGCAACCCAGCAATGTCCAGTGTTTTTGTGCTCATTAAAAACAATGCTCTGTCCAACCCCAGACCACCTACTGTGCGTAATATCGTGCATGATACCGCCCTCCAAACCAGCTCACTGGGACCAGAAAGAAGTCTCTGGATGAACTGGAGTCGGAAGGCAGCGGCCCTGCTAGCCAAGTG